CCAGAGAGCTAGGATTACAGGCGTGAGCCACCGCGCCCGGCCTCTTTCTTTCTTTCTACCCATAGCTCAGTTAATTTCATTTCAGGCAAATTTCTTGTTATACACACATTCTGTCTTTAAAAAAAATTTCTCTCTTTTTGCCTAGACTCTTCCCTTTTTTATCCAGTGACAAAAGGAACATAATTTCATACTATTTTATTCCCTCCTCTATTCTCTATGAACCCAAATCCAAACCCAATCAAAGTTGACAAATGTTAAGAAGGGTGCTAATGGTATACTTTAAAGTGAGATAAGAGCCAGCTGTGGTGGCTCATGTCTGTAATTCTAGCAGACGGGAGGCTGAGGTGGGAGGATCACTTGAGGTCAGGTAGCTCGAGAGCAGCCTGAGCAAGAGTGAGACCTGATCTCTACAAAAAAAACAGAAAAATTAGCCGGGGATGGTAGCGCACACCTGTAATCCCAGCTACTTGGGAGGCTGAGGCAGGAGGATCGTGTGAGCCCAGGAGTTTGAGTTTGAGGTTGCAGTGAGCTATGATGACCGGGAGACAAAGCGAGACTCTGTCTCAATCAATCAATCAAGATTAGACAAAAGAAAAAATTTGTAAGATTAAGTACCCCAAAATTTCCTTTAGACTCTCTTCCTTATCTACTACTAATTATATCTATTTTTCATTCAGCAGCATTATTCAGTAAAAGTAAGTTTACTTTTAGATCATTTCTTCATTTGAGAAATACAGCAGAGAGAATGCTAACTTCTACTTTAGGGTTATTAAAATTAAAAATAATGAATGTATAGTGCTTAGCATAGGGCCTGGCATGGTAGCTATTATTACTACTCAGTATTATTTATTCCTATCCTGTTTACTAGTATTGGGTTATACTGTTTATTGCTACTTTTATATAGAAAATACGCATTAAAGTTTAAATAGGTCTTTATGAGCTGGTAAGGAACTATACTCACAATAACTTGCATTGTAGAAATTCATGTATGGACTTCTAATGTTAAAAGAACAGCAATGATAAAAGAGGGAAGAGTACTAAATGTGAGATCTAGGAATTCCAAGGGAAAGCTTGCTTACCTTGTCATTGAATATCCGGAGACTATCTAAGGTGTGTAGGTTTTGTTCAAGAAGTGCGGTACCTGCTGAATACAAGTTGACCTCGTCGAGCTGCAGCACGGCCACGGCTACCCAAAAGAGGGCTTTGTGCAGAGGGGAGTCCTGGCAAATGAGACAAGTTCCAGGTTAATAAGGTGAATCATGAGACAATCTCATTCAAAACACACTGTAGTACAAAATGAAGTGTGCTATCCCCCCAAATTATCCGTGCTTTCTCACAAGGCATGATAAATATAAACATAAATATCTTCCCATAAGGGCAAGATAAATATATGGGTAAGCTCTTCATCTTTTCCATGTGTACAACTAAAGACACTGTTAGCTGGGCTGACAACCCTAGCATCTCCTTTGACTTCTCCTGTTCTTTGATTCCTAAATCTAGTTACCAAGGTTTGTGGATTCATCTAGAGTAGTTTCTTACATATCCGTTGTTTTTCTTGTTGCTAACGACATTATCCCATGCCAACTTTCTTTATTTTAAATGTGGATTCTTTTTTCTCCAGTTTCTCCCTACTCCAATTCACTATGCACACCACCACCAGAATGATCTAAGTCCTGCTTTGGTCATATTACTTATCTGCTTAAAAACAGTACATTTCCAAACTCCTTTCTGAACAATGCTCAAGGTTAGATTAGGTCTAAACAATCTTCACAACTTTCCCTCTTGCTACTCTTTTGAAAAGTTTCTCCATTACAACTACGATCATCTACCCACCTTTGCTCCACTGTCCCAGCCTTCCTGTACAGTCCTACTGCTATACCATTGCTGTTTAAGGCTTTCAACTCTCTCCCTTTCTCTCTACCTACATTAGATCCTACCTACCTCTTTAACGTTAGTTTAAATCCCACCTTTTCAACTTCTTGTCACTCTTACCCAGTAAGTACAGTAATCACTTGCTGCTCTGAATTAAAAGTATTTATTATTGGTAATCCTCATTTAGCACTGTGGTATATGGGAAAATACATAGACTTTAGAGTCTGGGAAAGAGTGGGTGAGTGGATAAAAGAAAAAAAAAAAAAGAAAAAAAAATAGAGTCAGGCAGCACTGGATGAGAATCATGATTCTGTCTTTTATTAGATATGTGACCTTGGACAAGATACTTATCCCTTCTGAGCCCATTTTTACTTATGAGATGGGGATGAGAGAACTATTTTGTATGATATAAAATTAGGATGTTTGTAGAACATATAACCCAAACCAGGAACATAATAGGTATTTATTAATATTTCTCTGTAATCTCTTCCAAGTCTGGCATATCTTTGTACTCAAATCACAGAATTATACAACTTTAGAATTGAAAGGTAATATCATGCCATTTTCTAGTCTAGTTTACTCCTTTTGTTAATATGAAAACATAATGTCTAGACGTGTTAAATGACTTGCTTAAGGGCACAAAGCTGCGATGAGCTCAGACCATCCTACGACAGTGGCCACATCATCTTACTTTTTAAAAATATCATCTTCATTTAGCACCAAAATTCTTAAGATGATCAGGTCTACTTCTCCCAACTTTACATTGCTCCACAGTAACAAACACTAACTAAAATATTATGTATTTAATTTACTTTATTATTCATCCACTCCCCAACCTCCACACCCACTCCAGAATATAAGTTCATGAGAACAGTGAATTTTATAGGCTTTGTTCAGTACTGTATCTCTAGCACCTAAGATAGTACCTGACAGATGCTCAATTACTATTTATTAGATAAAAGAATTAAGACTATATAAACCTATCTCTTCTTATTCACTGATGAGACAAAAAAAAAATTACAAGCACTTGAGAACATACTATTTATATTCTTTCTATAATGTAACTATTTCAAACAACTAAACTTTAAAGCAGAAAGTTCTACTTTAACTATAAGCTTTTTCTTTATAACTTCTTTTCAGAACTTCATCTTATTTTCAGAACTCTTTGAAAGAAAATAAAATAACATTTAACACTGATACCCAAAATGAATACCCTCATTTTGTACACAGTTAATTACCTTATTAAGAAGTGGCTGTAATTTGGTTAGTGCTATTACTGTAGCTTCTATCAGAACTTGACTGTTGTAAGTATCAGGTCCTTTTAAGCAACTTTCAAGTGCCTTTCAGGAAAACAGAATTCTTCATTTTACTTTCAATGAAATAAAACATTAACCCCTAAACTGAATCTCAGAATCAGTTCAGGAACATTTACTTATTTATTAAGTGCTAGAATGATTTCTAATGTTATGGTGATCTTGGTATCTAGCTCAATATACATTTGGTTTCTTATTTTTTGATATGTTCATATTATATTCTAATATAAGGCATTATTATAGTGATTATAAATTATATAATTTTATATAAGGCTATAGTCTTATCATGTAATGAAACACTTTGAAAACTAATAAAATATTTAAGGGTACTTGCTTATCCAAAGAGAAAAAATACTTACTTTCTTTTAAAGACATCTTTAGAGAAAGTTTCTTTACTTCAAAGAATTACAATAAAGAAAATCAAAATCCATTTTTAAAAGTTTAATAAGCAACATATAAGATAACTTATTAAACACAAATTTAAATGTCTTTTAGAAAAATGGAAGATGTGCTTTACAACATGGGAGCTACAAATATTTAGCACGAGGGACAGGTACCTTGCTAAGAATACGGATAATCTGCTTTATCTGCCCATGAGACACTCGTTTGCTAATACAGCCAAAGACAACAAGAGCTCTTGGTTGCAGGGATGGATTATATTGGAAGGCAAATCTGCAATTAAAAGATCCACAGAACTTATAAAAACATTTATGTTTATATATACTAAATAAAAAATTAAAGTATTGATTACGTAGTAATATCTATCTTTTCAACAATATATATACTTTTACGACTTATATTTAATTTAGGACATACCTTTGAGCTAATTCTGTCCACTGGTCCAGCCATTTGCACGTTGGAATATCTCTCATACATGCCTAAAAAAAGGGACACTCTGAATATATATATGTACATAATCCCATGGAAGTGCTTTTACTTAAGCATTAAGTGTAAACCAGCACAAAAAACCAATATTTCTTCTAAACAGTATTAGTATAGAAGAATTATATATATATTGATAAGTTAAAAATGATTTTAACTGAGTTTCTTATAATTTTGCCTTACATACCTCCATGATCTCCAACAAAGCTTCTGTGACTGTTTCCAAGGATGTCAAAGCAAAAGTCTCCCTCTCATAGGAGCCAGGAGAGAATGACCTGTCCCGGTAACTGGAACGGAAGGCAATGACAGCAGCTGACTTGACTTTGCTAATGCCAAACAGCAAGTAAAATTTGGGTAATGAGAACTCTGTTAGACTGAGTCTCAAAACTTGCTTGGTCTCTTCTGTAAAAGAAAAATGGAACAAGTAAAGACGCTGAAGATATTAATTTTTTAATTCTCAAGTACCATGTTTCATTTTAAATTTAGAAAATGTGAATATCATGTAAAAAAATAACATGACCATGCTCCCTAAATCAAACCTCTAGATACATTAATGCTTACTGCTTTAGCTCTATTTATCAATAAATTAGTGCTAATGATGGAACACTATCAACTGGCACTATTTATCATTGCTTATGTGATAAGTACAAGAGCCTACATGACAAATACACACAGAAAATCTTTACTAAAGCTTGATATGGAATGGAAGTAATTTATTATTTTTCTTTTTGATAATATTTCATGCCATTACTGCAGGCTTAAATTAGTACCTTGGTGTTAAGGCACCATCATACAGTAATAAGATAATCTACACCAATCAGATGAAGTAAAATGGAGAAAGGAACTGGTGAAACACAAGTTCCTTTCCTGGAACTTACCACTAAAATGAAGCTGTGAACAAGTACACAGAGAGTGAATGATATTAATGACCAATCCATGTGTGGAAGCTCTAAGGGAGAGCGGACCTGTGGCTACTAAGAAAGTAACAACGTGGAACAGGTAGGGGAGATGAGCTGCCACATCAAGGGAATTGTTGAAGGACAGCATCAGCATGTAGCGTGCTAAAATAGCAATATCATCCCACATAAGATGCTGTTCTAAAGTAGGAGTTGGAGATAAGCATGTCTTGTCAATTATTTTGCACATCCTTCCAATAACCTATAAGGAAGCAAAATTAAAAAAAAATATGAGGCTTAAACAAAGTTTTATCACAACAAATTTGTTTAATTTTAAAATGACTAATTATAAAACAAAAACCTCCTGATAATAAAAACAGACTATAAACTATATTATGTCATAGTCCAGAAGGCAAAGTTAAAGTGATTACCTTGCTTGAAACCAATTTCACATTTCCAGAAGCCAAAGCTACAGCAGTATCTGCCATCACTTCAGCTTTTATTGATCCCAAGCCACCCGTTGCACTAGTTTTGATGAAACTGTCTAGTACAACATCAAGCAGATCTGTAATCTAGTGGAAGAGGGAAAAATAACATTTTAACCACTCTACCAATTTTTAATTTAAAAATACTCATGAAATATAAAAAAATACCCAATCAACATGAAAATTCTATTTTACCTGAGATCTCAAAAATACTAGATTTTAGTTAATTTAACAGAGAATATCCAGGAAAGGATGAGGATATTCACTTGATTCCTTCAGAGATGAAGAGACTGGTATTTAAAATTTAAAAATCTCTATATATACTATCTTCATTCATTTGCAAAGTATCTCTGTGCTCTTCTAAGACAGTAATGAATGATCAATATAAAATAGTTTTTTGGTTTGTTTTTTTGAGACGGGGTCTCACGCTATCACCCAGGCTAAAGTGCAGTGGCATCATCATAGCTTACTGCAACCTCAAACTCCTGGGCTCAAGTGATCCTCCTGTCTCAGACTCCTGAGTAGGTGGGCCTACAGGTGTGCACCACCATGCCTGGCCTATATCCTATATTTTAATATTGGCATTCTTACGCTAGAACTATTAGTGAAAGCAGGTGTCCCAAATAATACCATTAACAAACATTTACTGACACCCATGGTGTGTAGGGAGATAGATTAAAGCACTATTTACTAGAAATGACACTAGATTTCTACAGTTAAATTCTACATAGTTATGCCATGGAGGAGACTGCTAAAATAACCCTGGCTCTGAGGCATGCATTAGACATTTACAATTTTGAACCAGAGGAAGAGTTGGGTGGGTGTCTGCATGCTTTCTGAAGAAGGGAATTGTGTTTTCTACAGCTGTATCCCTTGTGCTTAGCACAGTGCTTTGCACAAAGTGGGCACCAGACAAATACCTGCAAAAAGGAGATACTAGATAAATATTCGAGCAAACTCAATACCTGCCCAAGGCTTCCCCATATTTTTGCTTGAATAGAAGGGTACATCTGTTTTTCATTTATGGTCATTGTTATCAGCTTATCAAGAATAGCAGTAACTCTTTGTCGTTTGGCATCATCATTATGCTTACAAAAACGGACTAGATTTGACAGCCATGGAGTCATATACTCCAAACAAAGATGTTTCAATTCAATACCTGGGGAAAAAATACACTATTAGCATAGATAGTCAATGAAAATTACATCAACAATTATTTTAATATAAAGAATTGAGGGGGAAAAGGTAAAAGATAAAGACCATTACCTAGAGGCAGGTCTGGAGAAAAGAGACTTGGCAAATATATTTTTGAAGACAGATGTGAAGAAAGAGAACCAGCCTTGAAGAAAGTAATTTTAAAAGCCAGTAAGCCAATATTTGAAAAGTTTTGTCTTATTTTTCTCCCTTTTAGCCATTTATCTTCTAGTTAAAAAATTAAGTTTTATTCTCATTATATAAGGACTATGTGGTAATCATAGAAAGTTTGGTAAAAGGAAAGCATCACCACAAAAATGAAACTGATATTAATATAGTGGTGTATCATGTCATCTCCCATTACACTTTTAAATCTATGCAGAGATAATGTACATTTATGTGTGTATGTACACACATACAACTCACCCTCATTCCCCTACAAAAATTAGGATTATGCTGTATATGCACTATGCTCTGAATATTTTTCACTAAACATTATACTGAGATTATTTATGAATCATTAAAAATTCTCCAAAAACATTTTAACTTTATTTGAAAAAACTTCAAACTTATAAGACACAAAAAGATTATAAAAATTCCTGTATATACTTCACCTACAGTCTCAAAGACAACTTTTAAAATTGTGTGGTAAAATATACACCACATAAATTCACCACTATAACCATTTTTAAATGTACAATTCAGTGACATTAAGAACATTCACATTGTTGTGGAACCATGACCACCATCCACCTCCAGAACTTCCTCATCTTCCAAACTGAAACCCAACAATTTAATCAGTTCTTTATTGTTTGACTTTTGGTTATTTCAATTTTTTTGCTATTATATGTCATATGATATTCTAAAGTAGGCAAAATAAATCTATGGCAACAGAGGTCACAATAGTGTTTACTCTTGATAAAGGGATGGTACTGACAGAATCCTTCTGGATGCTGGAAATGTTAGGTATTTTGATCTGGAAGGTACTTTTGTGATGTATTTACATGTAAAAGTTCATTAAGCTGTTCACTTAAGTTCTGGGCACTTTACTGATGACAAGATTAACTTCAAGTAAAAAAAAAAAATAACGCTATGAGAAACATCTTAAAATTCCTTAGGATAAATTCTAAAATGTAGAATTATGAGGCCAAAAGGTATGAATAATCTTAAGGGTCTTGATATCCACTTCTAAACAGCTTTCTAGAAAAATTGCCTCTGCTCACAATTCCACAGACCACCAAGACTGAATTTTTAAAATATCTTGCCAATTTGATAGCTGAATTTGTTATCTCACTATTCTCTCAATTTGCATTTCTTTGATTTTGTTAGCAAACTTCTTAAAATATAAATATTTAGCATGATCTATATGTAATATGTTGTTGATCCATTTTTCTTACTAATCTATAAGAACTCTTGGTTTCAGGATGTTAATCTTTTCTCATATTTGCTCCAAGTGTATTTCCTAGATTTTAATTTTCACTTTTTTTTTGAGTAGCGATGCTTTGAAGTTTTATGTAGTCAAATCGGTTCACCATTTCCTTTACTTCCTTTTATCACGTTTTTGCTTCATATATCCTTACTCTAGAAAGCAATTAAATATTCACTTTTTTCTGTTCTTTTTAAAAAATGGTTCTAGTTTTTATATTCAACTCTTAAGTAAAGCTAGAACTTATTTGGTATCTTGTGCTGTATGGTGAAGATGAAGACCTAACTTAATTCATTTCCCAATCTTGTTTCTTAAATGATTTAATCTCTTCCTCATCAGTTTGTGATGCTTCTTTACCAATTTTTTCTCTTAAACTGATCTGATCGCTGATTCTTGAACACCCATGTTCTAATTATTGTACCATTATGAAGTGTTCAGACAACTATAACATCAAGTCTATTTTCTTTCTTTTCAATATTTTCTTAGTTTTTCTTGTACTTTTAGTAGAATTTAGAATCATTTGTCCATACTCAATCCTCAAATTTCATGGCTATTCTAACAGAATTGCATCAAATTTATACTAACCTGGGAAGAACTGTTCATGCAGAAATTCAATATGCCTGTCCACTCACTCAAATCTTTTCTTATATTAATACCTATCAACAAAGGTTTATACTTTTCTTGTTTTGTCAGTCTTGCACATTTTCTTGTTTAGAGTTTTACTCCTACATCTCTTATTTGGGGGAAAAAACATAAATAGTGACCTAATTTTGATAAATTGTTAAAGCTTTCAATTATCTAATACAGAAAAATCAAGAAAGGTGTTTGAACACAGGAAAAAAATTTTATGTATTATGGAGAGAGAGAGGAAAAGGAAGAAAATGTCAGGAAATAAGCTGAGAAAAGATCAACATTTATACTACTGCAGAGTATGAAGATGGACAGATATAAAAAGATGTTAAATTTATGAGACTTATTAAAGCCAAGTCAGGACTGACTCTGGACCCTATATTATGTGCCACTGCACTCTTCATGTACTGTACATGTACAATAAAATTGTAGTTTAAAGTCAACCTGAAGAAAAGAGAAAATGACTATTTCCCTAAAATCAAGGAGACAATGTGGCTACTTTACTCATGTGGAATTTTCTGCCAAGAAGAGAAATGCTAAAGCTGATTAAACTGAAACAGTGAAGAAAATAAAATGCTTTGTAAGTGGTCCAGAGACATTTTAAGGTACCAAAATCTTCCACCTTGCTTTTACTGTCAGAATTTCGGTGGATTTCTCAATGTGGCCTACCAGGAAGTTCCTTCAGTTACAGGGTAACATGGACGTAAAATTAGAAGAGGGGGGGGAAAAAAAGTAAAAATATAGTAAGTGAATGACTTCACTGGCAAATTCTGAAATGAAAGGGTTTTCTTTGAATTTTCTTAGAATACTGTTAGTATTGAAGAAAATTATCATTACTTACTAGATTTGCTAAATCCAGAAATACACTCTTCCAAAAATTCTAACGTGAGGTGTGGCTCATTGGCTGCCAGTGTCTTACTAATAGAGACAATAAAGAGGGTGTTGTTGGCAGGGATACATAAACCTGATGTCTCTAGTAACTGGCCCTCGATTTTTAAATTAAAGGTACAAGTTAAGGCACACAGAAGATTATAGGCAGCTGACCTAGGAGAAAACACAAATGAAGTTGTTTTAAAACGTACTTTTCCTTACAATTCCAAAAATTTTTCATAATATACAACTTGTGATTCTATTACAAAGCATAGTCGACTATTTTTAAATTTTATGATTAGAGACATTATGATTCTATGGTAAAACCAAAATACCACTTGATCATTTAGGGATTTTTTTAAAAAGGTAAATTCTTGACATTACCACAAAGAGCACTATGAGGCGTCTAAGACAGAGGGGTATAGGTCTACCTAACAGACATTTTACTGGGACTAAAACATGAGGGGTTTATGGTCCTAAGGTGGATCAATAGAAAGAAACTTAGAACAAGGCATATCGTGCTTTTAGTAAGGCCAAAACTCAAATTGTGGTTCCCTCCCCTGCTAGATCCAGTTATAATGGGGATCATAAGAAGAGAAATGAGATGGCCTCTCATCAAATTAGAATGTTAAAATCTTTAATCAGTGGCCGGGCGCGGTGGCTCACGCCTGTAATCCTAGCTCTCTGGGAGGCCGAGGTGGGCGGATTGTTTGAGCTCAGGAGTTCGAGACCAGCCTCAGCAAGAGCAAGACCCCGTCTCTACTAAAATTAGAAAGAAATTAATCGGACAACTAAAAATATATAGAAAAAATTAGCTGGGCATGGTGGCACATGCCTGTAGTCCCAGCTACTTGGGCGGCTGAGGCAGGAGGATTGCTTGAGCCCAGGAGTTTGAGGTTGCTGTGAGGTAGGATGACGCCATGGCACTCATTCTAGCCTGGGCAACACAGTGAGACTCTGTCTCAAAAAAAAAAAAAAAAAAATCTTTAATCAGTATCTACTGAATTTCCTTCTGAGTGTCCTACAAGTTATATTATAAGCTTAGAGATCAAAAACAAAATTAGCTTATAATTAAGTCCCCCCATTTTTCCTTCTATGACCTCATTGTATCATATACAACCCGTGAAAACAAAAAACTGTAATATCCAGGCTACCTGAAGACCAAAGTTTACTTACAAATGTCTGAAAATATATTTAATCACTTTAGGAGACAGCCTAAAAAACTCGAGACTCAATTTTAAAATTTTAATTTTTCTCCCCCATCCAGGAAAAGAAAGAGCTCAACTGCTCAGTAAATTTCAAGTTTTCCTTACCTCAGAACTTTCATCATGCTAATATATTTATGCAACAATCATACAGGGGGAAAAAAAGCCACTGAAATTTAAGTCTGCCTAGAGGCTTTTTTTCTGAAATGACATGCTTTAGCAAAAAGCAGAAGCTGTCACTTGCTTTATGTCACTGTAGATGAATACGGGTTTACTCAGGCTAATAATTATTAGAAACTTGTGGGCATTCTTCTATGAAGAAGGAACTTTGAATTAGAAATTAAAGGCAGGCTTAAAGCTCCATTTTCCTAAAAGGAGAATGTTAATATTATTGCTTCTAAGTTTATGTATCTTTTATTAACTCCTATGAATTCTAAGTTATACTATTCTGACATTGATTTTTACCCTGTATTTTTCAAATGCTATAAAGAATTGGGCTTCTTCAACCTGGGGGTAGGTGTCACAGACCCCTCTGAGATAATGAAAGCTCAGCATACATAAACCTGGGCTATGTTATACCCAGGGAAAATTTTCTGAAGCTATGAATTCACAGCTATAAAAATCTTGACAGTACTACAGTACTTGAGACAAACAATTATCCTGACATGAAAAGGAGAGGGGAGACAGGGGAGAAGGGATACGAAGAGATGCTGGCAGAGAGGGAAAATGCAGGGTAAAAAATACTACTACTTACTAAGCACAAACTATTAGCTAGGTTGCTATACCACCACACATACCACTTATTAAACTTTTGTAGGTACATAAGGAAGGCATTGTAACCTTTATTTTACAAATGAGGAAACTAGAACTCCGAGAACTTCAGTACCTTGCCCAAAATCATACATAGTTAGAAAATAGGAGATCAAGGTTTAAACCAAATCTCCTGACTCCACAGACCACACTCTTTCCACATGCAACATTCAAATTACTAAGCCTAAAAAGAATCAATTACACTCTGCTCAGATGACGACATATTTATCCTAAGATCTCTTTCAAAAACACTGTTAAGTGACATAAGTGCAAAGTATGCAACGATGTTACTGAGTTATTGAACACCAGGCCTTCCTTTGTCAAACAATGACAATCTCATTTGACTGTTAGGAAACTTAATAGTGATATACTTTTAAACATGGAAAAACTTAATTAGAAGACTCAGGAGGGGAAACAATTTAGGAGTAGATTTTCTAAAAAAGGATATTTTCTTTGGAAAAAAAAAATCTGCCATGGTATTTGTTTTAGATGAAAGTTTCCTGGAGAAAGAACATATATTGGTTTAGTATGAATCACACTATTTGGAATTCCATAGTTTATGTGAATACCCCATAACTTGATGAGGTCACACTGGTTAACCAACACAGCATACCTTCCAACTTACAGTATTAAGGTAGAGGCTGCTTTAAAAGCTTACCAAGTAGTCCCATTTTAAAATCAACAAACTCTAACTAAAGTTGAAATGAATTTTTAAAAAAACTTACCGTAAACTAGGATCTGAACTGCCTAAATTAAGTAATGCAATATTAAGCAGCGTCCCAGGGACATCTTTTGGCCGAATCTTGGTGTGCTGGGGGATGGAATCAGGCTGTGACAGCTCCCAGCGGGTCCGGATGTGAATGATAGACTGGACGATGGCTTCGCACTCCTGGTGCATGAAGGTGAGCGGTGTGCCCTGGTTTGCAATGGTTAAAGTGAACTGGTTCTCATCCACTAGGCAGATCTCTTCAATTTCCGAGGCATAATAGATATCATTTAGAAAGACTGACTGCCCCAGGACTTTTGTTCGCTCTGCTGAGGTTACTTGAACAGCAGTAGAACCAACCTAGAAAGTGGTGGTGAGAGGGTGGAGTGCACAGGAATTAAATTCCATTATGTAGAATTCTAAGAGGCTCCACAAACCAACCAACCAACCAACCAACGTACTATGTTTTGCATTTATGGAAGAGTTACCATTATTACATATTCAAATGGGTTCAATAATTACTGGGATACATGCTCTTAAAAGAAACTAAAAACATCAGAAAAAAATTAATTTTGTTTTTAAAACAGGTCAAGAATCCTATAGAAAAGTAGTGATTTTATCCTGAAGGATGATGTTCCTTACTCTGCAAAAAGCATGTAATAGTCAGAAGAATTCTCACTAGGTAATTTCCACTCTCCACACATTCCTACCATTTGACTGACACATAGCAAACTGGCCTCTCTACAACACTCTTCTGCCTCCAACCTAACCTATAGTTAAACGTACACATCTCATATCTTTTACAGGACCTCCATGAAGATAGAAGTCTTGGTCTTTCTACATCTAGATTTACCTGACGTTTTCAAAGAGAGAATCATACCCCTAGAAGCCAATGCTTTGACATTTGATACACAACTATGGGGACACATGGGGAGACCAGGAGAGAGTCTAGTTAGTCAAGAAAGGCAATGAGTCATTTACAAAACAGATTGAAACTTACTTTAATAGAAACTTTGGTGTCTTTGTGAGCTAGCTTGAGAGCATTGTGGAATACCTTCAGGTCCTCTTCTAAAGCCAAGGTGGCAGCTGGTAGTTTCTGTTGTTCATGTTCTATGTGCTCAGCCAGTTTCCCAGGACAGTCTATGAAAACGAGCCTTTTGCTACCTTTGAGGCCAGTCAGCAGCCGCTCATGATATTTGGTGTACTCCCTGACCCAGGAGTTACAGTTATAGATATAGACTGCAGAGACATTGTCATAAGCAAAGCCAGGAAAAACAACAAACCACTTGGAGAGAAAGTCTGTTTTAAAGCGATTACTAGGCCCAGTATGGGTAAGGTCCACTACAATTTCATATGGCTTTGCATAATATGGCTTTAAGGTCAGCAAGACATGATATATCAGCAAGTCACCATTGATTTGCCCAGTTTTGAACCTAAGGAAGATGACAAAAAAGAATAACAGATTGTTAACAGAGTTCTGAATAAATACACAGATGCCATTAATCTATTTTATCTCTTTATTTCCTGATTAGCTTTCTAGAGAGAATAATATAAAACAATTATTCAAGGTCTGGATTCATTTTTTAAATTAGTTGTTTTTCAGACACTGAGAAATAAGGCTAAAGTAAAAGAGAAGAGACAAATCTCTAATTCAAAAAATTTGAGCAATGCAACAATCAAAAGTTTGCCCCTCAGTCAAGAAAGGAAGAAGATAGTGGGTATTTGTTGGTTGCTTCCTGGCCCACCAAACTTCCCACGTGAACAGTTTAGGTGAGAATGATCCTCCCGGAGCTCTGGAGTGAAGTGGAATGGCTTTAGCCAATCCATTTATCCCACCTTGACCAGAGACTGATTCAACAAGGAACACATGACTCAAATCAAGACAACTAGGGACAAAGAGGCTCAATTCAGGGACCTTTGCTAAAACTGTTGGGATTTGAGACTTGACTTTGCAGGGTTTATAAAATAGGGACTACAAAGCTCTGGGAGTTGCTAGCTCACATCTTGGGATATGAAAGAAAAGCCTGCCTAGAAACTGAAGAGGAGCCGAGAAATGAAAAGAGAAACTGGGACCCTGGGCATATAATTTAAGTGCTAAAGTAAAGCCTCTGCTGGGGTCAAATTTATCCCTGGATTATTCAGTTGTATAAGCCAATAAATATCATTTTTTGATTAAGCCATATAGGTCATATGTTGCTTAAAACCAAAAGAATGCTAACGAATGCAAGTAGCCATGGTGAGGACCATGAGAAAGCCCTGAAGAAACGGTACTAGAATTTCAAGTCAAACAACCTATATTATCTTAGGTCCTATGTTTTCTGTATTTGATAACTCTGGTGATAGTACTACTAAGTAGAGGAAGCTAAATATCTTCACCCCAGAGGCGGGCTAATGGGTACAAAAATACAGTTAGATAGAAGGAACAAGTTCTAGTATTCACAGTAGGGTGACTAGAGTTAAAAATAATTTATTGTATATTTCAAAATAGCTAGAAGAGAAGATACGAAATGTTCCCAGCATGCACAAAAAAAGATAAATATTTGGGGTGATGGATATCCTAATTACACTGATTTGATCATTACGCATTGTATGTATGTATCAGAATATCCCATGTACCTCATCAGCATGTACAATTATATAAATTTATATTATATAAAAATCTTTAAAGATAAAAATGACAAGTTAAATGATTTTAAAACAAAAGAGAAATATTTAACATAAAAGATATGAAGTAGTATGTAATCACTTATTAAAGGAACTGCAGAGAAAAATACTGTTATTAAGTTCAAAAGAGGGAGAGACCGACAGGAACTGGGCAGCCAGTGAAAGCTACGTAGAAGATACAGCGGCTGAACAAGGTAGGAGGAATCTAGAACTTAACAAGAGGAGAGACTGGGCAGGCCTCACGGAAAGAGGTAAAGTGGTAATGAGATGTGTTGAGGAAACAGCTAGTTTAGCTGGAATAAATTCTGAGAGATAAAGCTGGGAAAATACATAATAGCCAAATTAAGAAGGAGCCATAACTGTCCAACCAAGGGGTGTGGGTTTTCTTCTAGGGGCACAGTATTTCTCAGAATGTGTTCTGTGGACTACTGGCATTAGAATCAATTACGGTGCTTGATTAAAACAGTTTCCTGGTCCCAGCCCAGACCTACTAAATATGAATCTATGTAATGGGGCCTGGAAATTTTTACTGTTTTTGAACAACCTTCTCATATGATCTTTATGTGCACAAACATTTCTGAATCACAGCTATAGCTATTAGGGAATTATTCAACTTTTTTTTTCCCTTTAAAGGAAGGGGTGATATGATCAAAGAAAATGATATATACACAATATACGAAAGAACCAGGCCTAGAAAAAGGTTATTGTGGTAGTCTAAGTATGACCTAATAAAGATTTAAAAATACTACTGTGACAGTAAAAATAGGAAAAAAGAAAACATTCCAAAAATAGGAAGGAAGAACCAACATGATCCAAAGTCAGATCAGGACTGAAAGAATTAAAAGGATCTGTTGTATAACAAGCCTCTGAGATTACGAAGAATGTTGCATTATGAACAGAAACCAGGAACAGGGAGATCATGAGGGGTAGCCACTTTAAAAGAAAAAATAAAGTCCATTTTAGACATGCTGAATTTGAGGTGATGACAGGACATTCGAGGTAGTATGTATGTATACACAGTAGACCACACAAAAGCATTTTCTGTCCCACATAATCTAAGTTTACTAGATATTTTCTCAAATCATTGTTGCAGTTTCACAATTTAAAATGTCAGTTATGTTATCACTGTTTCTATTATCTGACCCCAAGGACTCCAAACTCACATTTTCCAATCAGTCCGTAGCATACAAATACAATTTTTAGAGAAGATTTTTATGCTTCAGGGAAGATGCCATTTTAAAACCTCTTTTGAATAATAATAATACCATATCATTCAAAAGCTTGCAGCAGGCACACAGAATGAGTATAAGGTCAAAGGGAATGAAGCGAAGAACCCTCCCTGCTCTGGAGGCGGGGATTTGTTCTACAAAGCCTCCTGTCATGCCAGTGGCTAACTAGACAAGTTAGAGGGTTTTTTTTTCCTTTTCCCTGTGACATGTGCTTTAGCTGCAGCAGAAAGGAAATGTGTCATCTGTGGTTTGGTTTTAAAAGTGGAAAACTAGCTGCACATATCCTTTTTTACTGCAGATTTACTTTAAGGTTCATATTCTCCAAGTCTGTTCTGCCTTAAATAGGAAAAGAAGAAAAGAAGTGGGTTATTAAAATCACATTATAATCAGATTTTGACCAGGCATTTTGTAAGGTAGGTCATATATATGGCTTTTCTTACGCCTTTTCACTTCTAACTTTGTACAGAGTAGCACTGAGGAAGTGCTTTCAAAGAGTGTCTAAGAAGCTCACTAACAAAGTAGAATCATGTGATTGAAAATGTATACTGTTTTTTTTTCTGTTCTATTATGTAAAATTTAAATTAGAAATGGAAAAGATTTACCATCAACATGGAGTCTTAAATTAGGATTAGGAAGGATCTGTGTTTGGACTCCACAAATGAATTGGGAAGTTTTGTTATCAAAAAAAGGTTAAAAAAATAAATTTCTCATTACTAACGTTTAGGCATTATAAATTTTATTGAAAACAACCAGAGATAAAGAAAACTTTTGATAACATAACCTGGCTTCCATGGCATAAATTAGAGACGTAGAAACAGTCCCCAATTCTCAGGCATTTGTGAGGATAAGAGAAAGTCTCATTTTGTCAGCGGCTTGTTTATTTGGCCACGGCAGTACATCTGGCTGAAGACAATCAACAGCGGGCCTATTCTCTGTCCCGTGGTGAGCACTGTTAAAATGTGCACGAATACTATGATGTATACTATATTGTCAGTGAACTAATGTGACAAGAATAACCCACTTTAAATCATTTTAGTATCTAATGTATAAGTCCAGCCTAGTATAAAAGAATGAAAATTATTTGTTAACCCAATTTCAAGAATATTTCTTTTTGTGAAAGAATCTTAAAGTTTCCAAAGATTTATGTCATTCAACTTAAAATTTAAAGCTGAACACTTTTATACAAAGCCAGTACACTGTACCCTTAACTGTCTACTAACGGTCAAGTCCAAAAAGGAACCTTAACCTTAGAACATTTGATTATATCCTACTTTTGTTTGTATAACTCAACATATCACATTATTCTTAATTTCTATATTTCAATGGTATACAAAAGTTACCTGATGACTAATAACCATTTCTTATAAAAAACCTTGATGCTCAAAAGCATGACTGGCAGTGGCATCTGTGTTGCTTGGTAGTGAGTTTAGAAATATAGACTCTTACGCCCCACCTAGACCTGATAAATCAGAATCTGCATTAAAAAAAACCAAAACACCAAAAAGAACTCTCATGCACATTTAAGTTTGAGGAGAATCCGTATAAAATACATGGCGTTCTTAACCAGGCAATTTCATTTAGTAAATGTCAAGAGAACAACCTAGTTTTGCTTTTAGTTCCTTCAAATAAATGCTAACAACAAAATACTCTTTTCAAAAGTAGCTCAGGACAAACTGGCATATTATTATAAGATACCTTAATAATGATCATAAATCTTTCCTGCTATGTTAGCAGTACCTGGAACTGCTGAATTCTAAGATATGCCAGTTCTATTTAAACCTTTAATCACATGGTAGGATAATGAGAATTTAGAATAGAACTTATCCCCTTTTCATACTGGCTTCCAGGAAGCTCAGAGCCAAAACTGAAATTCAACTTTTCAATTATATGCTGAGATGTTTATGATCTGTCACTTCATTCTAAATCTCCAAGATCCTGATGCTGTATTTCTTTCTATTTTGCAGTATAATTTCTTTTTTTAGAATTATGGTAAATCAGAAAAAAATACTAGGTATAAAAGATGCTGAAAAAAGCCAATAACTTTTGTTGAACTTCTGAGATTACTCAGAAGAAATCTGCTGCTTTTTCTTTGTTTTGCCAGATTTTTAGGTTGACAAACCTGGCACGCCTTTGCTTTCAGAAAGTCACAGTAAGTCAGGGGAAATAGAGCGGGAATAGAGGTGAAAAGAGAGAACTACCACCATAAAATTGCTTTCATAAATACTGGGAATATATTTCTAAGTACCAGCTTTATTCTAAGCTTCAAGATAAATACCTAAGAAGAAAAAAGAATATCTTTAATTCCTATTTGAAGTTCACCTTTTTTGGCTAATACCCAACTTTCCTTCCTTCTCTCTATTAAAAAAAATTTGCATTTTCTTTTCATACATGAAGCAAAATGCTCAAGACCATATTCCTCCTTTACTATTAAGATTGGTGACAGATTAGAGGGTGGGGAGTTTCCGTAAGAACGATCCTTTTTTATTTTTTTAAAGGAGAAATCAAAAGAGTAAAAGCAGAAGTATCTGACTCAAAGCAGAAGTCCAGCATGCTTAAAAGGCAGAAAACTATACCAAGCCATGTTATTCGGTTTAAAATGATTAGTAGTTATTTGTAATGCTAACTTCTGGCACCTAAAAGTATAATAGAAATTAAAATTCTTCTTTGTATATAGCCTAAGAGTAATAGAAAAAAATTCATCTGAGAAGGAATTCAAACAGGGTAACTAATGTTAGGTGTGAGCTTGCAACATTTCAAATATCTTGTAACTACAATTACCAAAACTAGGAACCATTATTATTTCACAAATTAACAAATTATATTGCTATCCCAACAGATAACCAGCATACTCATGGACATGGAACACAGAGGACATTACCTGCATCTTGCCTTTCTGATGACAATAGTCTTTTCTTTGTCCCCTGGAATAAAAGCAAACTATACCCAGCTGTGGGCTAATACTACTACTGCCTGGGATTCAGTTATTCAAGACAAGATGGGCAGAAACCAAAATGAAAACATTAACACCAACCCTGTAACTCCTGCAGTAGATTACAAAGGTAATTCTACAAACATGCCTGAAATGGCAACATCTCACATCTTAACTTCGAAATCTGAAGAGGAGCTTTATATACCTTCTGTTGTCAAGAAGAGTTCTCCCACAGTACAGAGCATTGAAAACACAAGCAAAAGTCACAGTGAAATTTTCAAAAAGGATGTCTGTGAGGAAAACAATAACAACATGGCTATGCTAATTTGCTTAATTATAATTGCAGTGCTTTTTCTTATCTGTACCCTTCTATTTCTATCAACTGTGGTTCTGGCAAACAAAGTCTCATCTCTCAGACGATCGAAAACAGTAGGCAAGCGTCAGCCTAGAAGCAATGGAGATTTTCTGGCAAGCAGTGGTCTATGGCCTGCTGAATCAGACACTTGGAAAAGAGCAAAACAGCTCACAGGACCCAACCTAATGATGCAATCTACTGGAGTGCTCACAGCTACAAGGGAAAGAAAAGATGAAGGAACTGAAAAACTCACTAACTAACAGATGGTTTACTGAAGAAAAATGCAAAGTGGCAATGAGAAAGGTTATAGAGTAAAAATGAAGTCAGTTTGGTATTTAATACCAAAGTGTTGGGCTGATGATCTAAAATTTGTCATGGTAGGCCTTGCAATTTAATTTAAATCAAGCAGACAAGAAGGGGAGAAGTATGCCTGCTTATTTAATTACTTAAACTATGTACTTTTGACACTGAATGATTTAAAAAGCAAATAATAAAATCAACAAGCATTTGAGGAAAGTTTTAAAAATAAGTTGAGGACACAAATAGAGAGAAAGGGATAATTAAATAAATATTTCCTGTTCAGCAACAGTAGTTAGATGATCTTTGTCTGAATATAATTAAACTTTGAAGAATTTTAGTGTGTCCTTACAGCCAACATATACTTCAACATTTAATAGACAGTCAAATTCCTAATTCATAGAGTTGAACTGTACAATTTAATGGTAACTTCTTTGCTGGATGTGGCAGAATCCACACCAGTTCATCTGTAAATACAGCTAATTTTAGTCCAGATGCTTTCATCTTTACATATTGCAAATATGAGAAAGTGTTTTTCTACCATAAATAATAAAACTTTTAATTTTGTATAACAAATTTAAACTCATTAGAATAAAACTATGACTATGTATATTTGCATTCACTTTGTTATCTTAGAGAACACATTGTAAAGACCAATAAGAAATAGAGCACACCTAAATTTGATGAGATTCATAGTCACACCAAGAGGCTAAGTGTAAATGCAAAGTATGTTTTACTGTTTAAGAGTAACATTCATCTTTTCTATAAATACTGGTTATTGGAGCATTAATAACAAATACTCAAAGGATTAATTTTTGGACTTTAAGGATGCCAAGTAGCCTAATAAATGATGAATTCTATTTTTTTCTATCCAATGTAACATGAGCAAAGGAAAAGTCTGCGTGTGTTTGTTCAAGTTGGTAAAACAGGACACTTCAGATAACTGTTTAACCTTTAAGAAATTGGCTTCAAGTAAAATAATGACTTACATTTAAGTCAAGACCTCTATCTTCAATTAAATATTATAAAATTTGGTTTGAGAGACTTTCAAAATATCTACTGAAACTGACACAGGGCATACTAATTAAAGACTAGGCCACATTTAAAAAAAATCTTATCCTTTATTGAGCATTTATTTTGGGAATATGCTAGTCATTTAAGAAAAGATTTAATACACCTTTTTTCCAAGTATGACTACAATCTTACTCTCCCTTCTAGGCTAGTGATTCTCACCCTGGCTGGACATCAGAATCACCTGAAGAGTTTTAAAAAAACACCAATGCCTAATTCTCACATTCTCCTTCTGATTCAGTGGGAATGGGGGGAGCTCCAGGCATTGGTAACTTTACATAACTCCCTAGGTGATACCACTCTTGGTCATCAAATTTACTTCTTACAAGTTCCATGGCTCCAAACATCTAGGTTACATATTAAAATGAGAGGGGAGGCCGGGCGCGGTGGCTCACGCCTGTAATCCTAGCACTCTAGGAGGCCGAGGCGGGCGGATCGTTCTGAGCTCAGGAGTTCGAGACCAGCCTGAGCAAGAGCGAGACCCCGTCTCTACCAAAAAATGGAAAGAAATTAATTGGACAGCTAAAAATATATGTAGAAAAAATTGGCCGGGCATGGTGGCGCGTGCCTGTGGTCCCAGCTGCTCGGGAGGCTGAGACAGTAGGATTGCTTGAGCCCAGGAGTTTGGGGTTGCTGTGAGCCAGGCTGACGCCACGCCACTTGCCCCAGGCAAGAGAGTGAGACTCTGTCTCAAAAAAAAAAAAAAAAAAAAAAAAAAAATGAGGGGGGAAAAAGATAAAGCATCAATTTATTACCAATTTGTAAAAAAAAAGTCCATTCCCTAAACAATAAATCAAAACCATATTATTCCAGATAAAGCTAAATGCCAACAAAGTAAAAAGAAAAGCATGAGAATACTCATGCCAATCATGGTGAGACCAGATTATTTTTTTAGGGGTAAAATGGCCCAGATTAGCAATGAAACTGTACAGAGCTTCCATTCTGTGCAAAAATTAAAAATTTGAGATTGTGCACCAGAACACATAGTGATAATACAAAGCACTCCTTGAATCAAGTGTCATAAAAAAATACTTACCAGAGGAATTTAAAAGAAATTAGTATCTTTGTAAAAATAAAATAAATTTACTAGGAAACTACTTTCATATTCAACAACATTTTCTCACCAGAGAACTTCTACTGCAGGAATATTTAAAATTCTCCACTATCTTGGCTAATACAAACACACCCTCAGAATGACACCATCCAATGATAGTTTATGAACAAACAGAAGTGGTTCCTTTCCAAACTTGACAGTTATTTAAAGACTGTAGGTAAGATAATTTTGACTTCAAAACTTAAGTCATTTTTTAACAAAACCACTTTAATTTCTATCCCTGAGTAGAAAATCCCAGCTTTATCCAGGGATTTAAAAATAGTGAATCAAAAGCTTTATAGCATTTTGATTATATTCTGCTTTATAGTAAGACTCCTTAAAAAATTTAAAAAACTATTCTTTTTGTACCAAGTTATAAGTGCCTTCAAAGAACCAGATCATAATAATCTGTGTTCTGCTGTAGTGACTAGGGACAAACAGCACATGGGTTAACAGTATCTACTGTGCACTAAGCAAGGCACTTTATATTTATTTAACTTCATAATAAACTTATAAATTAGGAATTATGATCTGTTTTTCAGGAGAGGAACAGGAATAAAAGGTGACTTGCTCAAAAAGGTTTTTATTCAGATGGACTCGTACTCTTTTTTTTCCCTTTTTTTGAGACAGAGTCTCACTCTGTTGCCCCAGCTAGACTGCAGTGGCATCATCATAGTTCCCTGCAACCTCAAACTCCTGGGGCTCAAGCGATCCTTCTGCCTCAGCCTCCCGAGTATCTGGGACTACAGGCACATGCCACCACACCTTGCTAATTTTTTCTATTTTAAGTAGAGATGGGGTCTTGCTCCTGTTCAGGCTGCCCTCTAACTCCTAAGCTCCAATGATGCTCCCGCCTTTGCCTCCCAGAGTGCTAGGATTTTAGGCATGAGCCACCATGCCCAGCCTGGACACATACTCTTTTCAATATACTTTGCTTAGTTAATCTTTTATTTTAAAAATGATTCTCAATTTATTTTATTTTCCACTGAGAAGTACTACTACTTTGTGGATAATCAAATAAATAGTTGTGAGCTTGAACTCAAAGATTTAGTAAAGTATTTGGCCAAAATAATTTAATTATAATTTTACCTGGGTTTTGCCTATATGACATATGAGGAAATAACATTAACATTTACTGGTTGTCTACTTTGTAAGAGACATTTACACATGTTATGTTATATTATCTTATTTAATCCTCGCAATAACCCAATAAGGGAAACATTCCTTTAGGAAGGAAATGGTAACTCAGAAGTACAGCAACTTGGCTAAGGTCATACAAGCAAACAGAACATACCACTCACTGCTTATGAAAAGAAATCTCACTATGGGTAATAACCTAACTGGCAGCTTTTCCTTAGAACACCTACTTTCCTCTTCAGGGATCCATGCTAAATATTTTAATTATATAATTATATTATGAGAGTCTCAAATGTTTATTTACAAACATTAATTAAAAGCACTCAAATCATATAGCTCCAAATTGCTTTTCAATGTAAGTTCTGTTAAAGTAGTACAGTTCTCAGTCATCTTGTGGCTTATTGCACTTCCGGAACCAGCTATTGATAAACTTCCTCTTTTACAGAAATTATTTCAGTTTGCTACCAGGACCATTTTTAATCTGAATTGAACCACCCCTTTTGGTTTCTTAGCTAAATCACCAAAATGTCCAGTTAGAAGAATTTAGCATTCTGCAAAAGAAGTTAGCAGCTGAGGTAAGAAAATTTCACACAGGCAATTTGGTTTCATCTTGCTTTATATACAATTTGTTTAAAAAACTAAAATGTCGTTAGTGTTTTAAACTTAAGTTGAACTCTGATTGTCTAAAGGTGTCTATAACATGTTTTTGTGGGTTTTTTTGCATAGAATTTAAAAATACACAGTGTTGAGCTTTCCTCAGAAAAAGATTATCATCTAGGTTTGTATAAGGCCTTTCAAGTTTATTCAACTATACTATTTGTTAACCTTAGCTTTGTAATTAAAAAAAATAAACTATAGCCATGGTGGATAAAGCTAAGGGTTAGAAATAAAACTAGATTCCATGCACTATGACTGAATTTATACCCTCCCAATATACTGTTAAATTCTAATTTGCTTTCTATAAAATTTTCTTGTATATAATACAATCCATAGATTGAAATTATTTTTATTTTTTAAATCTTCTTTAGTTTCCATAGTAAGAACAGTTACCTTCGTTTAATTTAGAAAGAAGTAAATTATATGGGGTACTCAATTATCATTATATATGCCTTAGTTTTTACACAGAATTTTATATTGAAGTAATAATGATGACATGAAAATACTGCTCATTTTAAAAACTTACTAAGACAAAAATGTTATGATAAAATGTATAGACATATTCATATCACCTATGTATTTATGTCACATATTACTATCTGAGCCTTTAGTAGATAGCATGAGATACAGGAAAAAAAATCCCCAGAACACTAGAAAATTGATAATAAGCATAAAACATGCTTACACCATGAGTAAACCAGGTAATTACAAAGTAAATTTATTCTCTAGATGAAAACTGCAAAGAGAATTTTATATAGACCTATAAGTTCAAGGAAAAGTAAGTTTATAGTGGGTGACGTGCTTTTTCAACACTTCATAAATACTTACAACTTTCTCTTACAGCAGTCCATTTTGGATTTCTTTTAAGTATTATAGAAGATAGAAAATAAGGATTTTTATCTCTTTTTTAGACAAGACTTGTTTATACATTTTTCTGCTTCTAATATTTAGTTTATTTCATTATGTATATTAAAGGACAAAGTTATATTATTTTCACTCATATTTCATTAAATAATTTAATTCAAAAATTTCCCAGGAATCTTTGACATTGGTGTCTTTGTCATCACAGAATTCCATACATATTTTTAAAGGATTAGCTCAAATATAAAGTTTAATAGTGCCTGTGTTTTTCAACTAATTCCTACATAATTCTAATTAGAAGGAATGATTAATTCTGAGTAAGTCTGAATTTGCTAAACATAAATCTGATGCCTCTCAATGTCCAATCTTTAAAAATCACCACAAATATTTTAGTAAACTTACTAAATATGACAGTTTATAGGCCAACCATTCAAAACTCCTATAACTGTTTTCACAGAATTGTAATTCTTAAAAGATTAAAATGGGTTTTCTGGTATTTCTTTTTCTACCCTTTATATAAGACTATCTCCAAAAGTGATTTACATATTGTTCCCAGAGCGCTCACATCTTCTTCCTTCACAAAGCATTTTTATTGTATAATTGTTACTATGAAAGGCAGTGTAGTATACATAATGACATGTAACAGAAGGAAAGGGCTCTGGCAGAAGATGGGTATGGTTTCTGTATTAGTGCTGCTACTTAGAAGAGCTGTGACACTTGCCAAGTTACCCAAATTCTCTGTGTATGGGTTTCCTTATCTGTAAGATGAAAATACCAGCACCTAGCTCACTGAAATAGGACAGTGCCTAGCATTTGGTGGGTGCTCGGTAAATAGTAAATAAATGGTCATCAAATACTTTCTGTTGTACTTTAAGGTCAATTTCCCTTTCTGTTCTTCCTCAAGATATAGAATTGCTGTTTTCTTCTTTTTATGGTTTCAAAACTTCATTAGTTGGAGATACTACTACTGGAAAGTTTTAATCTATTATATTTGCATTATAACTTACTTTTATTATATCAAAGTAACTGGAACACAGATAATTATTTTGAAACTGCTATCTATACTTGCCTTGTCTAGGTATGCTCTCCAGATCTCCTTGATTCCCTTTAAATGACAAAGACATATTTCTTAACATACCCAACAGTAACATTTTTTAATGCTGCGTCCTTTATGTATTTATGCATATTTATAAAAATATGTCTAATACATGGGGACTCCTGCTTTACTGCAACTGCCTTTAACATGCTCAGTTAAAACAGTTCATGTTTTTCTTCTTCCTTTTAAAAATTTAAAATAATCTGTAAAAGCAAAGGACCAAAATTCACACATTGAAACCTCAATGTATCATCCATCAGCCTAAAATAAAATACTGCCATATGAAGGCTGACAAATTTGGGATTTGCCTGAGCAGCAGACTAAGGGATTTCTAGAAAACTCTTATACAAAATGGGCACAGGTTCTTTGTAGTAATTACCAGATATACTTCTGGGTAGTGCGAGGAAACAGAGAAAGCGAGAGAGAGCGAGAGTGAGAAAAGAATGTCTTAATGACACAGCAGGTAGGAGAGCCTGAAATGAAAGATAAGTTGAGTTTGAAAGGATGGTTTATGCTGGCCCTCCATCTTGAAAAGAGAGCTCCTCTTTGCCGGTTCTCTGCACCCACAGACACAAGCCAGTACAGGCAGCAGCATTCTGTGGTTGCTTTTTTCATCTACTTCAATCTTTTCCCCCAACTTCTTCATTTTACCCACTTTAATCTTGTAACTTAATTTCTTGTCAGTTACATAACCACCACCTTTTTTCAGCTGTTTAACTTTTCTTCAATACCTTCTCTAGTCAATTGACCTTCCTCTTTTCCATTTGTTGCTTCCTATAATTTTTGTTTTAGTTTTTTCTTTGTGCTATTTTATACTTTTCTTTGCATTGTCTTTTCATTTCATCTTATTCTACATTTTCTCCTCCTTTTTATTCCCCTGCACCACATTATTCTTTCCCTGCAGAAACAATGTTGGTACTTCAGATACATACCACTTATATATTAACACACTGACTGCCACACTAGAAAAACAAATTCTTTTCCTTGGGGCCATGGTGTTTTATTATGAAAACAGAATAAAAACTTTGAAAACAAAACGATCCTTTCTAATTTAATGAAAAATTTTTATTTTTTATTGTTTTCTGTGCCCATAGCTATGGTGAATAAAGTAAAGAGACATATGAGTTATACATGCTTCACAAGGACCCAGGCTCAAAACTAGTGTGAATTAAATACAACTCACATGACAGTTAATGTGTTAAAACATATATATGTTAAATAACTTTCCAAATTGGTAATAACACTGGTCTCACTACCCCTGGAAAAAAGTCAGTTTTTTCACTATTATATCTCCTATTTATTCTTCTTTTGAATCTTTCTCCTTCTTTTCTGGGCTATGCCAAATTACTGTAGTAGGAGTCTAACACGGATTCTAGCATTCTGATGTAGCAGATCCTAGGAGGGTAAAAATCTAACTTAAGAGTGGGAGAAAGTGGTAGAATAGGTCAAAAATGGAATTTGGTTTTAATACTGCTGCAATCCTTAAATGACAAGTGAAAATTTCATACACTGAATGTTCTACATACTTCCTATTGACATAAGAGGCTATGAACCTATCAAAATTGATCTTACAAACGAAACTGGGTTTATAATTGTGTTCCTCTTTGGGCTCTTTCCTTCTCTAATGCCATTTTCAGCTAACTGAAAAGAGGAACTGTATGGTTTCTTTATTTTAAGCTAAGTCACAAAAGAGGAAACATTTTTGGCTTAAGACAATTCATGACCTATATTTTCTGATGCTTAGATAGATAGCATTTTTTGAAAAACGTTTTAAAAATGAAACTTTGAAGAATACCATTTTCTAACAAAGCCTTCTTTTTGGTAATCTATAAGAATATCAGGTAGGAACTGCATGAATGACAACCATCTAGAGATGATTCGAATGCCCACATTTATGTCAAAAGTTTCCAATTTTTCTCTTTAAAATCTTTTGTGAAAGTGGATAAAAAGAATTTATTGGCTTAGATTTCAACTTCTTTGCTCATATTCTGGTAGAAGTATTAATAAAAAGTGAAATGGAAAGGAATGAAGAAGCCCAATACAAATTAAATGTTTACTGAACTACTGATATGTAAGACATTATGCTGCAGAGGAATCAAAATATAAAAACATTAGGCAGTATAGTGTAGTAGAAACAGCATAGGCTGTGGAATCAGACGGTCCTAGGTAAAAATTCTCAGTCTGTCACTGATAGTCATATAACATTGGGCAAATTGCTTAACTCATTTGAAGTTGTCTCTTTATCTGTAAATAAAAAATACTTTCACCTTCCTCATAAATTCATTTAAAGGTTAAATAAAGTATGTAAAACACCTGGGATAGGACAACCCATAGTATGTTCCAGATAAGTATTTTTATTTCTTCTTCTTTTTTTGCCTTCTTCAAGGTTCTTTATAATATTGTTCAAGGTGGTGGGAATAGTAAGAAAATGTGAAAAGTAAAGTAATAAAACATAAACAGTCATTTAAGAGAACAGAAGTGTGAGTGAGCTACATAAAGGAACCACAATGACAGTAATAACCAGGGGGATTCTGTGAATGGCTGATTTCTCTGGGCTGTGGTCAGTCACAGAGAATTTGATTTAAGAAGGGGAATTTAAACTGAGGTCTGAAAGATGAGAACCGGTTCAGACCCACAGTCGGAAAGCAGAAGAGGCCAGGTTTGGAGAAAAAGAACACAGTTGAGGATGCTGAAAAGCAGCATGATTAGAAGTATCTGCTTAGGGAAGGGGGAAAAAGCATGTGTTTAGAAAGTATGTAAGGTGGGGAAAGGGTGCACTTGGCTGGATAAGAAGTTTCAGTCATGAGATGTGAGTCTGGACTGGTTAACTCATGACAAAAGGAAGAAAACTCAGTTTACAAGTTTTAGCTTAACAGCAATGGGGAATCCCCAAAGCAAAGGAGTAGTAACTTGATCATGCATGTTTTTAAGATTAATTCATCAGCAGTGTGCAGGACAGTTCAAAGGTGAACTATTTTAAAGTTTTGGCTTGAAGTATTAGAAAGAAAATAAAAAGGAAGAGAATGTAAAGAAAAAAAAATCACCTTTTCTTCTCCTAAAACAGGGTTATTTATCTTCACTGCATACCAAGTAACAAGCAATGAAAACTACTCAAATATGCTAAAAAGTCTATTTATTTGCAAAATCTTTTATTACATTTTGCAAAAAAACATCAAATCTATCTTAGATTGGCCTATGATTCATAGAAGAACTACAGTTTCTAATCATATACACCAAGATCTAACACCCTGAGATTCTCCTTCCTCTAATTGTGCAAAACAAGTATATTACGTTCAAAGCTGAAAATTATCTTAGTATAACTCCTCACTTTAGAGATAAGGCAATTGAGAACAGTAGAGATCAGTGACTAGTTCTCATGATTAGATAGGTAGTTAGGTGGTAGAAGCAGAACTGGAACTTAACTTTTCAAGTGTTAGCATCTACCACAAAAAGCCCTACATGCCAAACTTACACATGTACCTTCTTTTCCTGTGCCCATATGTTATTCCCCCTAGCTAGAATATTTATTTATTGCTTAATTAATTATTACAGACATTTTAAGATTCAGTTCAAGTTTTATTTCTCTGAGAAAACTTCCTTAAAGACTTCTCAAGCTAGGTTAGTTCTTCTGTGCATCTCCTGCATACCTTTATGAGAAAACATCAAATTGTAATAGTTTTTTACCTGTTTATTTCTACCACTAGAACCTGAAACACCTGAAAGGCAGCATCTTTCTCTCTCTCTTTTTAATCTCCTAAACCTAGAACAGGGCCTCACGCAAAGATGGTATTTACCAATAAATGAATGAAAGCAGCAGCAGGACCATCTGAATAGGATTGACTCAACCAGATTCAGAGATCGCACTAGGATTTTGAGCTTAGGACTTTGAGTAGAAATGAGTCCTTTAAAAATACGAGATCCTAACATAAGGACATGGTGCTAGACATTGAGAATGCTGGAAAGATTACTAATATAACAGATTCTGTGCATAAGAAACTTAGTGGTACCATTAACAGAGAAGTTGAGAGAAGAGTCAGTTGTGAAGTAAAGATGAATTCCATTGTAAACATGTTGAATTTGCTGACAGTGGTATATATACATGGAAACATCCACCAAGAAGTTGTACAAATAGAATCAGAACAAAGGAGAGATTTAAGCTAGATGTACAGGTTTGGGAGTTGTGGCAAAAGGTGAGAAGTGAAATCTTACAGATTCAGGAACAAAGTAGATAGGGGTAAGGACTGAGTATCAAGTATTCATATTAAGGAGGCAGGAGAAAAAGAGCTAGTGAGAGTAACATGTAGGAAGACTGATTACAAACAGCTACTTGAATGTTAGTGAAGGAAGAGTCAGCAGTGTCAAATGTGGTCAAGAGAAGGGGAAAAAAGAAGAAAAGACAATTGAATTAGGTAATAGATGGTCACTGGTATTCTTCAAGGCAACAGAATCAATACATTTCTAGCAGTAAAGGGTAAAAAAAAGTAGAGAACACATGGATCCAGCATATAGAGCCCATGCACTGTGAGAAGTATGACTGTGAGAGGAAGGCCTATAATGTAATGAAGCTAGAGGGGGAGCAGGGGAAGTATGGATCTTATCAGAGAATTAAGAGAGAACACTGGTCTATGAGGTCCAAATGCTGTATGATGGGTTAGAGTATATTCAAGAGATGTTTACACTAGCCTACAGTGTGTCAAGTCTAAATTAGGAATGATAAATACTAATTGAGTACCTACCTACTTTATGCCAGGTATTATAATGAAAAGTCAACTATAACTAGTTACCAAATGATACCTAATTGTCTTTCTTTCTTTCTTTCATTATACAACCTCTGGTAAGGAGGAAACATTCTGAAATGGAGCCCAAGTATTTCATCTTAATTTTGTTTTGTGGACACCTGGATAACACATTTTTCTCAAAGACAGAGGCAATTACAACAGAAATACAGCCACAGCCTACCTTATTTAGATCATCAGTGTCACATGTCTCGGCTAATTCTCAAAACACCACAAGGAATCCTTCAAGTCAATCAACACAATTCAACAACATTTCTTCTGGACAGCCAACATCATCTGCCAAAGTTGTTGGTGAACAACCACCACCAGCTGTCCATGCCTCTTCTGGGAAACCAGCTGCACACACTTCTGCTGGACAACCACTTGCCTATAACATCACCAAATCACCAATACCAACGGTCAATACTTCCTTCCAGCAAACAGTACTACCTGTGTTCACCTCTGCCAGACAAACACCACCATCTGCCCATACTTCTACCAGAAAATCACCAACATCATTTGTCTATACTTCCACTCAACAACCATCGTTATCTGTCCACACCCCTTCTAGAAAACCAGTACCACCAACTGTTCATAATCCATCCACAGAACCAACATCAATTATCAAAAATTCACCTAGGGGTACACCAGGATTCATCTTCGAAACTATCAGTAACAAAGAAACCTCACATAAAACCAATTCTAGTTCAACAGCTGCCATATTAATTGGTATAATTCTGACTTCTATGTTGGTGGCGATACTCATGATTGTAGTATGGAAATGCTTGAGAAAACCAGTTTTAAATGACCAAAATTGGGCAGGTAGGTCTCCATTTGCTGATGGAGAAATCCCTGACATATGTATGGATAACATTAGAGAAAATGAAGTATTCGCAAAACGTACATCAATTGTTTCACTTACGACCTGGAAACCCAGCAAAAGCACACTTTTAGGAGACGACTTGGAAATTAAGTTGTTTGAATCAAGTGAAAACATTGAAGATTCCAACAACCCCAAAACAGAGGAAATAAAAGATCAAGTAAATGGTACATCAGAGGATAGTGTGGGTGGATCAACAATTGGCACAGCTGTTTCTTCTTCAGATGATACAGATCTGCCTCCACCACCTCCCCTTGATTTGGAAGGACAGGAGAATAACCAATCTGACAAACCCACAATGACAACTGTATCTCCTCTTCCAAATGATTCTACCAATTTCCCTCCATCTCTGGACTGTCTCAATCAAGCCTGTGAAGACCATAAATCTGAGATCAAACCATCATTTCCACCTTCCCCCGACTCACTTAACTTGCTCCAGCCGCCAGTGGATTTTATGAAAAATCAGGAAGAATTCAACGTTGAGATTCAGAGTCAGGAGTTCTCTATTCCTCCTGACTCTGATCAAGATCTTAATGAATCTCTGCCACCTCCACCTGCAGAACTGTTATAAATTTTACAAAGTGCTTTTAAGCTGATCTTCCATTCTTAAATGACTCCATCTTTTGTTTTTCTTTATATAATGAGATATATAAAATGGCAACTGGTAGTCAATTTTGATTTTTATTCAGGAACTATGTGAAATCTGCTCAAAGCCCACGTGCATAGGTGGAACTTTTTTTTAAAAAAAAGTTATTTAACAGTGATCTATTTACCAGTTACCGTACTTGTCTTTAAAATATAGTACATTTTACATATGTGGATGGTATACATGTCAATAACTTAACCATTCTGAAACAAGCAATCTACATATACTTGTATTACCCAATAGATATTTTTTCCTAAAAAGCTGTGTATGAACTTATTTTGAATAAATAAACTTATTTTCCCATTTCAAAGTTTGGGGTGGAGAGAAATAAGAGATTAAATACATATTCCAAGTTTTAAATTAATACCTCAAGTATTAAATACATATTCCAAATTTGTGGTGATGAGAGATTAAAATGCATGTTTGAGAAGAAAGAAATTTTTCTTTTTGGTTTTATTGGAAATAGTAAAACAAACATATTAAAATGTCAAACTGGGGCACTGGGGATATTTACCCTGAAAAAAATAAGAGCACACACCATAACATGTAAACATTTTCTTATAATATTGGGGAAGCACAAATTTTACAACTAGTCTCTTTAAAAAGTCTCTGCTTTACAAGCACCCAAACAAAATTGAATCTCATAAGGAAATTTAAAAAAAAATAGAAATTATGGTTTCATTCTGAATTTGGATGATTTTTCTAGGCAAGAAAGACGGTTCTAAACTTTTCACTAAACTTATACTTTCTGATACTAATCATCTAAACTCATAAACCACCTTTCTTTTTTTTGTTTTTTTTGGAGACAGAGTCTCACTCTTGTCTGGGCTAGAGTGCGGTGGCATCAACCTAGCTCACAGCAACCTCAAACTCCTGTGCTCAAGTGATCCTCCTGCCTCAGCCTCCTGAGTAGCTGGGACTACAGGCGTATGGCATGGCGCCTGGCTAATTTTTCTTTTTTTTAGTAAAGACGGGGTCTCACTCTTGCTCAGGCTGGTTTCGAACTCCTGAACTCAAACAATCCTCCCGCCTTACCCTCCCACAGTGCTAGGATTACAGGCAGGCGTGAGCCACCCCTCCAGGCCTAACCACCTTTGTTATGCAGAATTTCATCTTTATCCATTACCTGACAATTGATAAATAAACCCGAGTTATTAGAGTAGGGATGAACCTTTGTCAAAGTCAAGGTAAAGCGTGGTCATTGGCCTATGCTTGTGAAGATGCCAGTCGGTGTCTGAAGAAGTGCTCCTTTGCTCAATAAGCACATATTCTTCCTCATCGGCCCCACCCTAACTCTAGGGGTAAACAATCACTTAGAATGAAATGTAGTAGCCTCATTGATAGCTTAGTCTTGGAGAACCTCTCATAGTTTTGGGAGTTTCAGAACAGAATATAGTATATTTATTTGTAGCACTCGTGTTGCAGAAACCAACAAAGCTCCATCCTTAATAAAAACTTGTAAGCTTTAGGAGATTAGAATTTTTTATATTACACAATGTTTCTCCTTAAATCTTTTATGTCATCCCTTACTGACCATTAAAGCTTTTTATCTGCACAAACACTTCCTTGATGATGTTTATTGTCATATTACATTGGTTCTCTTCTGTCTTCCCCATTAAAATTAAAAGGTTTCCTTTCATGTGTTTTTGAAACTTAGCACTTTCAAGGCTGATTTACCCAGCAGCAATTTGGAGTTTGAGAATTTCCTATTATTCTTTTGAATTTTAAGCATTTTAGTTAGGATAAAGTATAATATTTTTATACTTGCTCAAGTATTTGACATGCCTTAAATCATCATAACTCAAAAACACTTAAGACTGTTACTTAATGGGCTCTTTCCATATTTTTACCCCTTTTACTACCTTATTTCCTGGCAGAAATATAAGGAAATATAGGGAAAAAGAAAGAAATATCAACTCTCCTAGATAAAACAGGAGCTGAGGACCTGGTCATACTGTTTTCTGATTTCTTTAAACACTACAGGCAGCTTTTCTCCTTCTGTTTGTTGTACAACAGGAGGACAGTACACTGGCAGCAGCTAGGTTTTTATGTTATCTTTCTTTTTCTTTTTTTTTTTTTAAAGAAATTCTCTGCTGGGGGAAAAATAATTCACATTTCTGCATACAATTTTCCCTACTGAGGTCAGTGGCAACCCTTGCTTAATCAGCAGGAAGAAATGCAAGCTAATAAAAGAAATACAGGGGAGAAGAAAATGCTGGAACAAAGAAAAACCTAGAGAAAAGATTAAAGAAACAGGATCCAGAAGAGAAAGTTTATTTCATGAATACAGCAAAAGAACAAGGCACAGGGGAATAAAAGGTAGACTGAACTTCATACCACATACAAGTGGTCCTCCTACCAGATTAGCATTAACCAGAGTCAGAAACAACCTTGAAGACCACTTGGTTCAACTCCTTTTGTTTGTTAACTGCTGAGAAAACAGGACTAGGGAAAGCAAGTGACTTGCTTAGAAGTGGTATTACAACCTGAGTTACCTCCTGACTCCTGGTCTAACACTCTTTTCACTAATAAAGGACCAAAGAGCACTTACTCCATGCATCGAAATATACATACATCATACAAGTATTCTATTTAGTGTTGGTAGTAGTACATAATGAATTAGATGAGGATGACCTGTAATTGTTGTTATTGCCTAATTCTGATCAAAAAGTAAAGTAGCAAAATATTTGAGCATCTATAATTAAAACATGGTGGTACTAGTATATGATTAAACAAACAGACCAAAAGAACAGAATAGAAAGTCCAGGAATAAACTCGAATATCAAATCAGTGGGAACAAGTACTGAGACAACTGGATGGATATTTGGAAAAAGATAAAATTGGATCCACACTTCACACTATATTAGAATAAACACCAAGTAGACCAGAGATCTAAATATAAACCATGAAATTACACAAGTAATAGAAGAAAGTATGGGTGAATTCCTTTATAATCTGGAAGTAGAAAAAGCCCTCCTAGCTGAGACTCAAAATCCAGAAGTAATAAAGAGAAAAAAGGTGGGGGGTGGGGGGGATGGTGGTAAAAAAAAAAATCAAATTATGTGAAACTCTTAAATGTCAAACATAGACCCACACACACACTCCCACCCCACCCTAATAAGAAGACAAATGGCAAACTGGAAAATAATTGCAACTTAAATCAAGACAAGTGCTAATATCTCTAAAATTTAAAAGAGCTCCTAAATATAGGCAGGTGAAAACCTGGAGCACAATAAAAAATTTGCAAAACATACACAAAAATAGTCACAGAAGAAAAATTTTAAACAGTCCTTAAAAACATATGTAAAAATACACAACTTCTTCATTCATAATCTTCGATCGTCCTCATAATTAGAGAGATGCATTTAAAATTATAGTGAGATGCTACTTACCTATCAAACTGACATAAATATAAAAATTCAACAAGGTCTACAGTAAGGCTATATAGAACTAGATATCCTGATACACTACTGGTGGGATTGCAAAACAGTATAGTTGATGAAGAGGAATTAATATCTGGAAAAATTCCTGATGCATTTACCATTTTACCCAGCAATCCTACTTCTAGGAATCTTTTGCAAAACTGTGAAATTATTTAGGTATAAGGGTATTCACCGTGGCATCATTTGTGAGAACCAAAGTCCAGAAACAACCCAGATGCACACCAATAGGGGATTGGTTGAATAAACCATAACAGATTCCCAAATGGAGTACTACGCATCACAAAATGAATGAGACAGACACTTACATACTGATGTGGAGTGGTCCTCAAGACATATTAAGAAAAAAAGGAACAAGTTGTTCAATAGTATATAGAGTACAAAGCCTTGTAAGAAGGGGGTATAAAACAAATAATATATACACAGAAATACATATTTTGTATGTTTTCAAAAAGAAATACTGTTAAGCTACAACCAAAAGCTAATAAAAATTGTCACCAATAGAAAGAAGGAAATAGGATGGAGAAGACAGAGAAGCAAGATTATTCTGAATATAATTGTGACTTAAGTGATCCTGAAAAACTGAAAACTGAAACAAATGGACCTAACTTTATGTCAAGTTGGTGACATAAAAATACAGAGAAAGGAATTATTTCACATTGCATCAGAACACAGAGTCCACTATAGACCCTTAGTGAAATATATGCTAAGAACAAACAGAACTGCAAAGAAATTTTAAACCTTATTCAGTAGTGTGTAATTTAATTGTAGAAATACTGGTATTATTTTGAAACTATTGTGGAATGATGCAAATAACCAGTTATGTTAATGATATCAGGAATCATTTGTAGGAAATATAGAGGATAGAAGAACAAATTAAATCTTCCAATGGAAGCAAAGAGGAAAAACCCAGAATGAGGGAGATTCTAGAGAACTGACTGAGTTATGGCAATAACCAATGCAGGGGGACGGAGGTGGCTGAAGGGACTGATCCACTTGGATTCTGACCTGATAATTTCTATTTTGTCAGTTCTTCCATTCTTTTAAAATACTTCATTGAGTACTCTTGGTTGTAGTCAGCAGGAAATTCAGTATAAATAGCCAACCATATTAACAAAAATAGACAATATTTGACTCTCAAATAAGCACAGTAAATTTAAGAAATAAAGGCGAACTGGAACTATTGATTAACATGGGAAGGCCATTCCCTGGCAGGTGGTTTGTTATGCTTTTTATAATGTTGGGGGTAATATATCCTAGGACACAAAAGAATATATGAATCAATTTACTATTTAATCTAGAATATAAAAGTTGCTTAAAGAGCTAATCTGAATAAGTTGTAACAAACACTTAAGTCTCTAAAAAATTATTCTTTTTTTTGGGTAACAGTAAAATACTATTATTTTATGTCATGAGAATTTCCAAAAGCGTAAGCTAAGAACAGATTGTTACAATTCAAATATATTGAAATGATCCCCCTTTCTCTCTCTCTTTTTTGTTTTAGAGACAGGATTTTGCTCTATTGCCCAGGCTGGAGTGCAGTGGCACAATCATAGCTCACTGCAGCCTTGAACTCCTGGGCTCAAGCAATCCTCCTGCCTCAGCCTCCTAAATAGCTGGGACTACGAGCACATGCACCACCACATCTCACTCCCCTTTTTCTTTTGGAGAAATTTACCATAATGTGTGAATAATGTGAAGTAACTTAGTATGTCCCTAAACCTGAAATGAGAAACACTGCCACTACTATTGTATTAGAATTTTCTATAATATGCAGCAGAATCTAAACTTGATACAGCCTAAACCCA